CCAATTTTCATATACAAACTGTATAAGCAAACCGACTCAATGATCTGTTGATTATTTTGGCGTGCTCCGGCTCAGACGCTGCGAATTGCGACAGCAGCAAGATAAAATAATGGAAGTTATCCACGAATAAATAAATAAGTAGGAGCATTGATTTTTTTTTTTTTTTTCTTGGAAAAAAGAGAAAATCTCTTCTGGGCTTTGGATTGGTAGATCGCGAGATGGAAGAAGAAAGAGGGGAAGAGAGAGCGAAAGCCACGGCTTTGATCGAGAAGGCAACCAACTCAACGGCGCGCGAGCTGGATCCTCGCTTACTTAAAGCAATAAAGTCGGTGGTCCGGTATTCTGATTCTGAGCTCCGACTCGCTACCCAAACCCTAATGGACCTTATGAAACGGGACCACTCTCAGGTTCTAATTCTATACGTGCTCACTTCATAATTTCGCTTCTTTTTTGTTTTTCAACTTTTTATTCCGCTGGTTTATCTATGTTTACTTCCTTAATTTTTGATGCCGACATACGTAGTGAGATTCATAAGGCTTTGTCTTTAATTTCAAGCATCATATCGAGCTTTTCTAGTCTTTATATTTTAAAAATTCCTTGTCAATTGCTATTTGATTGGTCTAAATTTGTTTCGTTAACTTTTTTGCTCATTGAATTTCGTAATTTGTGGAACCTTTTCTGGTAAATTCAATGGCAATTAAGTGCTGGTCTGAAGTAAAGGAAAGCTTGCTGGTCTGAGATGAAAGAAAAGCCTGGTTCTTTGTTTCTTGACGAAGGCTTGGAAAGGTTTAAGCAGTGTTTGAACAAAAGAAAGAAATTTATGGAGATCACAAACTTAGAGCAAGTAGAAGATTGTGAAAATTTTCTCAAAAATGATAAAATTTAATTTAATGTATAATTTCACAGGTACACGGAACAATATGTTCTAAATGCCAGTAAATTTCACTTGAAATTGCAGCAATGTACTTTAAATTCCATTAAAGTTTATTACGTTTTAAATGTAATTGTCTCAATTCTATATGAGATCTTATGGTAAATTTTTATCATCTTCTAATAAAATTTACATCATCTTAAAGTAAACTATGTTTACTTTTTCAAATGAATATTACAAAATTCTGGATTTGTTCTGAGTAGCCTTATTGTAGTTCATTCTCTCTTTCTTCTTTTTTTATTGATAAGAGGGTTAGTATTATTCATTCTGACAATTAATGGATCAAGGTTTTTTTGGTGTATCTTCTCTATAGAGTTGTACTTCATTTGTTGCTTTAACTGTTTCCCTTGTAAAATTCTGGTGTTTGTTTATCGGTTTGCCAGTAGAGGGGAAGAAGGAAGCATTTCTTGTATGAGAAATTTGAGTCTGGGACATGTTTTGCAGGTTCGGTATCTCACACTTCTCATAATCGATGAACTTTTCATGAGATCAAAGCTCTTCAGAACCCTTCTAGTTGAGAACCTGGATCAACTATTAAGTTTAAGTGTTGGATTTAGAAGAAATCTGCCTCTTCCTGCTCCACCTGCTGTTGCGACCCTTTTACGTTCAAAGGCTATTGAGTTCTTGGAGAAGTGGAATGCCTCATTTGGGATTTATTACAGGCAGCTTAGATTAGGTGTTGACTATCTTAAGAACACGCTTCGTTACCAATTTCCCAATCTGCAGGCAAACGCTGCTCGAGTTCAACAAGAGAGGAGGGAAAGGGAGATGAGGACCAAAGAGATTTTACAGAAAAAATGTGAACTGCTAAAGGGAAAATCTTTCTTCGATAAAGGAGAGATACAGTCAACAATAGATGAGATTGCAGTGTGTTTGGATATTGTAAAGAGTAAAGAGGAGAGCTTGCCAATTGTTCCCTTAGATGATGATGATAATTTTGAGGATTTCGTTCTTCTGCTTTAACGCAATTCGTCTTGATCACTAAAAGAGGCAGAGAAGGTTCGAGAGAACAGTGAAAATAAAGTGGTTTTTGATGCACTGAGGGAGCAGTACAAGCTTTTGGTGACAAAGCAGTTGGTTTCAGTTCAGGAATGGATCTCAGTTCTGATTAGGGTTGAATTATCAGACAACAGATTCAGAGATTCCACACTGAAGGACTTCATTGATATCAGAAACAATATCCTGGCAGTAAAGAAGAAGTGTGAAGAATCAGGCTGTTCTCTTGCAGCTATAAACCAGGGTAAAGAAGATGCAGAAGAAGACTTCTGGGAGGAGAGTAAGATTGGATCAACAAGTGATGGGGTTTCTAGCACACCTGATCAGCATCAAATAGATTTTTCTGTGGCACCAACTTCTAATGAGCCAAAAGATAGAACTCCGAGCTGCAGCACTTCTAGGTCCAATGAGTCTGTTGGTAGACGAGGCAGGAGAACTGATTCGAACTCAGTCAGGGGAAAGCTTTTGGCTGAAGCTCCTGTATTGAGTTGGAGCTCTCACCTAGAAAATTGGGGTTCAAACAGGGAGGTTTTGGCTAATCAGAGAGGCTTGGAGCTCGAAAGTCACTGGGGTAGGGTGGATCAGGATGCTGTTATTCCTGCTGATAAAATTGCAGAGCTGAATCTCCACACAACCCTTTATCAAGAAGAGAAAGTAGAAATTCAACCGTGCCGTGCTCCTCTGAGAAAAGGTGGACTTTGTCAGAGAAAAGATTTAAAAGTATGTCCATTTCATGGGCCCATAGTAACTCGGGATGAGAAGGGAAAACCCATAAATCAGAATCCATCAGTAGATGCGACTCCTTTAGATTTTGGATCGGATTTAGCAGAGCAATTAGTGAAACAAGCTGTAAAGAATGTTAGGGACAGCGATAAAGAGAAGATGAGGAAAAGGGTAACTGATGCACAATCACTTAAGCGTGCAAAGCTTGCAAGAATCAGGGAACACAATGATGCAGTTCTTTGCGATGCTGCATTGGCTTCAACTTCAAGATCTGCAGTTATAGATGATTTGGAGATAGTAAGTGGAGAGAAACCGGGGGCTAGAAACAAGAATGTAACTCTTGCATCCATGCTGCGTAAGAAAGTGACAGCAAAAGATAGGCTCGCTCAAAGACTCTTAAATACTCGCGTGAGAGATGCAACAACTAGGCAGCTGACACAAGATGAGCATACAAAATATAGAGAAGCCTTCCCCAATCAATGGTAAATGGTTGTTCCCCAGTCCAGGTAGAAGTTTTGCAAGTGTTGATTAAGCACCAAGACATGATATGCTGGCCTGTTGATCAGCACTATCAGTTGTATCAAACGCAAGAAAAGGGCTCCCTTCATCTGTAAATTACTGTAGTAATCTAAAGGTCTTGTACAGTACGTTGTTTCTCTGAACTGACTACAGGAGAGCAAGCTCGGTTGCGTTTTAATTATAGGGTAAATATTTTTTTTTTCCTTATCTGATTTTTTGGTCAGGTTATAATTGAAGGATATTAGATATGGTTTCAAATTTTAATGCTCGAAATTCTTAAAATTTTGATTTGATTTAAACAATAATTGTTATCTTTGAAGTGAACTGACTTTTGATTAGCCATGAAAGATGGTCAAGTACCGATTTGATCTGTGCGCTTATTAATCTCCGTTAGGTATTCCTGATCTTAGCACCAAGTGGTATACAAATTCCCTATCGTATAATATTTGCTCAAACTGAAATATTGTTTAGAACCAAGATGTAAATAGTATATAATTGTTTTGAGATAAATATGTAAGTAATATATAATTAATAACATCATTAAACACTGTTAATTATTTGTACAATTAATTAATTAGATGCACGTATTTTTTACTAATTTAATTTGTTTAATTATATATTGTATATTTTATTACATTTAAGTAATATATTAAATTAATTTAACTTAGTTTATGTTGTATATTATTCGTTAATTTTTTAAATTGACTTACCTCAAATTATGTTTAACTAATATGATTTAATCCTTTTAAAAAATTAAAATGATTCAATTAATATAAATAAACTA